AAATTTTATGGATTGATTAAAATTTACCTCAGTATTTTAGACTTACTTTCATTGCGCCTTACAATATGCAATTAAAAACAAGTAAGAAATTATAGTCGGGCGAGGCCGACCATATAATACCCTACACCTTTGACAAAAATGTAATGTGATTTATTTGCCATAATAAAGCATTTAAATTGAATTGTACCTTGCCTCAGATATACATACTTAAGCCGTTTATTGTTGAATAAAATTGTGGACATTTAAGTGAAATTTTGATGGGGGCTTTTCATAGGGGCTAGGGTCATATGAGGACCTATTATTATGGAATTCGTGAGGGTCATCAAATCTTGTATAGAACTTGGTTTTTGCAGCTTTTTTTCGAGATATGAGTATATTAAACATAATTATGAACTTAAAAGCCCTATTCAGCGGGTTCAGTTGTATGGGAGCAAGGTGAAATAATGGACGGATGTTAACCATTTTCAACAGACTTTGTTTACGGTACCATAAAAGATCATGTGCCAAATTTCATTGAATTATCTCCAAAATTGCGACCTGTAGTTTGATTACAAAGTTTAAAAGCCCTATTCGGGGGTTCAGTTGTATGGGGGCTAGGTGAAATAATGGACCAACGTTAACCATTTTCAATAGGCTTCGTCTACGGTACTATAAAAGATCATGTGCCAAATTTCATTGAATTATCTCCAAAATTCAAATTGTCAACATGCACTTAAAAAAACCGTAACCCGGTACAGTTATTCGACGTCACACATTTGACCAATGCGGTTTAGAACGTAAAACTCTCGAAGGCAGAGCAAAAAGGACGGCCTGATTCCCCTTAAGCGATAATGGCAACGACGCACTATGATCTTCCTCCACCCAGAGCTGAATTACGAATGCATTTGTTTATTATCTGTTTAATTTGGCAAATATGATTTAAAATACTTTACATTGAGTTCTTACAAACTAACTTGGTATGATCTCTAGTAACTGTATGCATATTAGATGTTTCAATTATTCGCATGCAAAACAAATTTCCTCCTTTAAATCAAATGTCCAAAAACACTACCCCCACTCTCCTTGTTCCCACTACCATTTATTCTAGATCCAATAACCCCTAGTGCTGGCCCAAAAAAAGAGAAATTCTCAAACATTTTTGAGTTCGTTATTACGTAAATCATTTGATCAATGGACATTCTCTAATGGGGCCCATACATAACACCAGCTTGCTAGCACAATCAAGTGATTGTGCAAGCCGATTGAACGTGTATGGGGTTGTGGCGCGATTGTGCCATCTGATTGTGTGATAATTGTTATATGCCTACGGATCGGTTTCACGCTTGCGGTCAGTTCTTTGCAAATATTTGTATTATTCGCAACGACCACACAAAATTTCTAAAAATGAATATTGTGCAAGCATGCTGGTGTGATATATGGTCCGAACATGAAAGCTCAATCAAATTATTGTGCCAGCATGCTGGTGTTGTGTATGGGCCCTTTAAAACATTATAATGTTTAATTTTATTAACATTTTCATGGATATTTTAAATTTTTTTATAATTATAGAAAGAAAACTGATAAGATGTATTAAAATTAGAACAAAAATCCTATTTTAAAAAACAGGCCATTTTTGATACTGAAAATCGTTAAAATGACGATAAATTGTCAAATCTCGCAACAGTGTTTCTGTATATAAAAGCAATGTTTGTGCTAAATTTTTTATGATTTTTTCCGATTTTTAACAATGTTGATCCCGACACCAAGAGTTATATCTCTACAAAATTCATCAATTTATCTGTAGTAGTTTTTGTAAAAAATACAAATAAATATGTTAAAAAGCACAATTTTTTTCGAGGTTGTTTCAAATTATTACTCATAATTCCGAACCGATCTTGCTGATTTTGAATACGAAACTGCTTAGGATAACAATGAATATTTTGAATGAATTTCATAAAGTTTCATTGCTTCGTTTTAACGTGAGCGTGTTTTATACAGACAAACAGACTGCCATTTCTAAATCGACTCAGAATTCTATAAGGACCAACAATATATATACTTTGTTGGGTCTCAGATGAATATTTCTCGGTGTTACAAACGGAATGACAAACTTATATATACTCTCTATCACTACTGTTGGTGGAGGGAATAAAAAAAGAATTGTTCTTTTAAAAAATTTAAATTTTTTTTAACTTCTTAAAACAAAGGTGCTATGCAGAAATTGAAAAATATATAGAAAACCAAATAACACACCTTAAATATTACTGCCTTATTCATAAACATTTATCAAAGGTTTATAGAACAAATTTTGTATGAAAATTTGATTTATAAACCTTTGATAAAAGTTTATGAATAAGACCTTAAATATTAAAGCTTTTGATAATATAAACAAACAACAACCGTCATAACAGCCGAAGTAACAAGAACAATATCATGCTTTTATGATTTTACATTTTGTGTAATACGTTTTAATAGCAAAAACAACATTAAAGGTGTTACAATTTAATGTATTTTTGTTTTATCTGATGTTAACAACGGCGGCCTATTAAACATTTTATACATTTTAATGTTTAACATATCATTAACTCTCTTCTTCTTTTTTTTCTGTTTTTCACTCTCTTCCTCTAGTAAGCTGTACGTGTAAATGGTTTTTCCCATTATAAGTGGGGAAGTGTGTGTATATGTATGAATAAACAAATATCCGTTAAAAATACAATTAAACATCCTTTTATGTAAAAGTGTTGTCTGTGTCGTTGTCAATGTTTGTGTTTAATAAATTTTATGCTTCTATAAGCTCCTCGCTCCTCAAAATGATGTCCACAGTTGGATTTTTACAACAACTTAATTAAGTGTAATTAAGTGATTTATATTGAATTGAATATTAATAAAGTCAGAAATGTGTTGTGTTGTGTCGATGCCAAAGTATCTTAATTCTACAAAATAAAAAACACTAATTAAATATTAAAGGCAAAAATTAAATAAATACTCGTTATAAGTTTGGTCGTACTAAATTTGTTCATATCAAGCGACATATTAAAATCCATTAATCAATTATAATATTCATAAATAATTACTCTACTATAATTACAAAAAATAGTAATAAATATAAATTTTGCTGCAATTATTAAAATTTTGAAAACAAAACCAGAAAACAGTGGAGAAAAAGAACAATAATAATAACATTAAGAAGGATAACTTGAAAACTTGAAATTATTTAACAAACTAAATTGTACAAAGGTAAGTATTGATATTGTTTAATTTGTTATTATTTTCCTTCTTTGTTTTAAAAAATAAAAGCTTAATTGGAATTGTCATATTTATTAAGGAGTTTTTGAAATGTATTTTAAACGATTTACATAATTGTTATTTGGTAATTGTTTGGTTACGCTAGAATTTAATGAAATCGATTTAGGAAAGAAGTAATGAATGATTCAGAACTATTTCGATTGTATAAAATAGCAATTATTGAAATACATTTAACTACTTGACAAACAAATAGTATTTAATATAATTACATATAAACAATCGATATTAGTACATAAAAGATTAAAATGTTTTTTTTTTTTTTGTGAAGTTTTTTCTAAAAAAACAGAACACAACAAATGTTCAAATTATTAAAACTGTTTTTTTTTTTTCTTGCTTGTTTTATAATAGTAGAACAGTTTATAGGAAAAGTCTAACGATCACGTGAACTTAAAATTTTTGTCTGGAATACTGTCAGAGAAGGTATTAAAGGACTTAGTCTTGATAACAATAAAAATCTGATAATTGTTATAAGACATTTCATGGTCATTGTCAAAAATTTTAAGACATTGTCACTTCATTTTATATTCTGAGATGCGCCATCTTTTGACATCTGATTAGGTCATCATTGTCTGATACTAAACATCAGTAATGAAAAGTAAACAAAGTGTTTAGGACCAATAACACATTCTGACAACCGTGTAAACTGTTAATTTTTTACCGGTCCATATTGTCATATAATAGTCTTACAATGTATTGTCAGATTTTTTGACAAATGTCTTGCAACCGACAAAAATGGTGGCAATTTTTCACTCTCCAGTTGTTGTCAGCACATTGCTATGTACGATAATATTGCTACCGTTTTAACAGAGTTTATGTGTGTTAATTTCTCGTATTAACATTGTAGGCGTATGAGTAACATAATTCAAGTGTAATAAGTATACGCAACTCTAAAATATTTTTATGAATAAAATTCGATTTTGTGGTTATGATTACATTAATTCATTGACGGATGTAACACCCAGAAATATTCATCTGAGACCCAACAAAGTATATATACTCTTGATCCTTATGAAATTCTGAGTCGATATGTCCGTCTATCCGTCCGTCTGTCTGTCATTTTCTCTTTTTTGGAAGTTCTTTTTGCTGGGTAAGAGCATTTACATAAGGCTGAGGTTAATCATCGTTTTTCACTATTTCTTGTTCATTTTTTGGTACTAGGATTAACAATGGAGAAAGTTGTACAAATTGGATCACATGTTTTTACAAACAAAATTATATAAACATTTAATTTTTTAAATTTTTTTTAACTTCTTAAAACAAAGGTGCTATGCAGAAATTGAAAAATATATAGAAAACCAAATAACACACCTTAAATATTACTGCCTTATTCATAAACATTTATCAAAGGTTTATAGAACAAATTTTGTATGAAAATTTGATTTATAAACCTTTGATAAAAGTTTATGAATAAGACCTTAAATATTAAAGCTTTTGATAATATAAACAAACAACAACCGTCATAACAGCCGAAGTAACAAGAACAATATCATGCTTTTATGATTTTACATTTTGTGTAATACGTTTTAATAGCAAAAACAACATTAAAGGTGTTACAATTTAATGTATTTTTGTTTTATCTGATGTTAACAACGGCGGCCTATTAAACATTTTATACATTTTAATGTTTAACATATCATTAACTCTCTTCTTCTTTTTTTTCTGTTTTTCACTCTCTTCCTCTAGTAAGCTGTACGTGTAAATGGTTTTTCCCATTATAAGTGGGGAAGTGTGTGTATATGTATGAATAAACAAATATCCGTTAAAAATACAATTAAACATCCTTTTATGTAAAAGTGTTGTCTGTGTCGTTGTCAATGTTTGTGTTTAATAAATTTTATGCTTCTATAAGCTCCTCGCTCCTCAAAATGATGTCCACAGTTGGATTTTTACAACAACTTAATTAAGTGTAATTAAGTGATTTATATTGAATTGAATATTAATAAAGTCAGAAATGTGTTGTGTTGTGTCGATGCCAAAGTATCTTAATTCTACAAAATAAAAAACACTAATTAAATATTAAAGGCAAAAATTAAATAAATACTCGTTATAAGTTTGGTCGTACTAAATTTGTTCATATCAAGCGACATATTAAAATCCATTAATCAATTATAATATTCATAAATAATTACTCTACTATAATTACAAAAAATAGTAATAAATATAAATTTTGCTGCAATTATTAAAATTTTGAAAACAAAACCAGAAAACAGTGGAGAAAAAGAACAATAATAATAACATTAAGAAGGATAACTTGAAAACTTGAAATTATTTAACAAACTAAATTGTACAAAGGTAAGTATTGATATTGTTTAATTTGTTATTATTTTCCTTCTTTGTTTTAAAAAATAAAAGCTTAATTGGAATTGTCATATTTATTAAGGAGTTTTTGAAATGTATTTTAAACGATTTACATAATTGTTATTTGGTAATTGTTTGGTTACGCTAGAATTTAATGAAATCGATTTAGGAAAGAAGTAATGAATGATTCAGAACTATTTCGATTGTATAAAATAGCAATTATTGAAATACATTTAACTACTTGACAAACAAATAGTATTTAATATAATTACATATAAACAATCGATATTAGTACATAAAAGATTAAAATGTTTTTTTTTTTTTTTGTGAAGTTTTTTCTAAAAAAACAGAACACAACAAATGTTCAAATTATTAAAACTGTTTTTTTTTTTCTTGCTTGTTTTATAATAGTAGAACAGTTTATAGGAAAAGTCTAACGATCACGTGAACTTAAAATTTTTGTCTGGAATACTGTCAGAGAAGGTATTAAAGGACTTAGTCTTGATAACAATAAAAATCTGATAATTGTTATAAGACATTTCATGGTCATTGTCAAAAATTTTAAGACATTGTCACTTCATTTTATATTCTGAGATGCGCCATCTTTTGACATCTGATTAGGTCATCATTGTCTGATACTAAACATCAGTAATGAAAAGTAAACAAAGTGTTTAGGACCAATAACACATTCTGACAACCGTGTAAACTGTTAATTTTTTACCGGTCCATATTGTCATATAATAGTCTTACAATGTATTGTCAGATTTTTTGACAAATGTCTTGCAACCGACAAAAATGGTGGCAATTTTTCACTCTCCAGTTGTTGTCAGCACATTGCTATGTACGATAATATTGCTACCGTTTTAACAGAGTTTATGTGTGTTAATTTCTCGTATTAACATTGTAGGCGTATGAGTAACATAATTCAAGTGTAATAAGTATACGCAACTCTAAAATATTTTTATGAATAAAATTCGATTTTGTGGTTATGATTACATTAATTCATTGACGGATGTAACACCCAGAAATATTCATCTGAGACCCAACAAAGTATATATACTCTTGATCCTTATGAAATTCTGAGTCGATATGTCCGTCTATCCGTCCGTCTGTCTGTCATTTTCTCTTTTTTGGAAGTTCTTTTTGCTGGGTAAGAGCATTTACATAAGGCTGAGGTTAATCATCGTTTTTCACTATTTCTTGTTCATTTTTTGGTACTAGGATTAACAATGGAGAAAGTTGTACAAATTGGATCACATGTTTTTACAAACAAAATTATATAAACAGTTTTGTAATACATTATTTCCATTTTCACACAGATACACAACCTTTATCATAGTTTAACATTTATTAAATTTAGTACATTATGTAACAGTCTGTTAAGTGTTAATTCCGTTTTGCATGGTATATTTTAAGGCGCAATGCAAATGAAGGATATATTATGGTGAATTCAAATCCATCATTAAAATTTGATGATTTATATAACTTGCTTATGGTGGAGGGTATTTAAGATTCGGCACGACCGAATATAGCACTCTAACTTTTTTTTAAGTAATTTTCTATTATATTATTCGATCTTTGAATTTATAATTCTAATAATCTAATTGGAAACAATAAAATTTAATTTGTGAAAACTTAAGTTCGTTATATTGAATAAACATGCGTATGCATGTTTGTTTAAAACGTATAGATGCAGAGATAAAATATGTTTGCTAAAATACAAAATTTTAATTAAAATTCTAACACGAATGAAATTTACCAAAAAAAAAAAAAAAAACAAATTCAACTAGATAGATGCCAATGTCAGACATGTTTATGAAATATACGAGATTGGAAACTTTACTGTTTAGTCCACATTTATAATGTAAACCATTTAACACAATAAAAGTAATTCTGGAAGTAAAATACTCAATTTGTTTTTGAAATAATGTAAAAGGAAATATTTAAAGATTAATTTGCACACATGACATTTGCATGTATACATCAGTATACAATAAAGATCCTCTTTACACATACATACATACATACATACATACATACATATATGTATGTATATGTACATACATATGAAAAATTTTCATAATTTAATCCAGCTTTAGGTCAAAATCAATAAAACAAAATTTGAATTATCTATATTTACAATATATAAAACTCAAATAAGTATGTTTAAAAAATTCAAATTAAGAAAAAAATACTTTATTGGTTTCAACCATAAGCTGGATTATCATAATAATAAAAAACATTTTTATATGTTGAATAATATTTGTGTTTTGAAGATGTTAGTTTAAACGTTTAAAGTCATATGGTTTCAATGGATAAAAAAGCTTATAAATAAACATATTGCGGACAATGTATATATACATACATATGTATGTATGTATATACATATGTATGTATAAAAACTGACTATGTATGTATATTATACCGATTCACTTTGTATGAAGAGCGGAAGTGATTTTGTTATCCTATGCAAAATATTTCTTGTTTGCTTTATGATGTTTTCCAGCATTATTTTCGGTCTACTGATGACCATCCCTGAGCTGGAATCTTTTAAAGACAATCCATACAGCATAATTCGAAAGCTCCGCATTCAACGATGTAGTAAACATGAAAAATCCTGTAATTATTTCTTATAAAATACAACTACAAATAAAACTTAAACAAATAAGAATGTTTAGTCGTTTATGGCCGACCAGTGAGTATGTTAAAAATGTGGATTATCTTTCCAATAATAAAGCATTTTTCCTTAATTCCGAAATATTTTAACAATTTGTTACCAAAATAAGTTCGGCTTTGCTGAATCTTAAATACCCTCCACTTTAAACTGGTTTCATAAATTATCAAATTTTATTGAATAATTCAAATTTACCTTAAAATTTTACACTTACTTTCATTACGCCTTACAAAAACAAAACAAAACTACCACTTAAAAGACCTGCTACAGAGCGTACTAAGTTCTGTATTTAAAATAATTTCTATGTGTGATGGCAATATGATCAGTTATAAAACTTATATAATTTTGTACGGGAGGTACAATAGATGATTTTCAACGTTTTTGATCCTATTAGAAAAATAAATAAACAAAATTTGGTTTTAAATTTTTATTGTTGGACCTAATTTCGACACATAATTTGATGTAAAAAAAATTATATTATTTATGAAAAAAAAAAGATAAACCGAGCAGGAATCGAACCGGCACACAGTGGTATAGGAAAAAAAGAGGGAAATAATTCGGTAACTTCTAAACGGTTAATCCGATTTTGATGAAATTTGGTATGCACAAAGAGGAGGTGTTGTCGAGTTTAGGTTTTGAATTTGGACCTAATAGGCCAACCAGGGGCCCGGCGGGGGGTCCTCAAATTAGGACACCTCGGCTATGTTAAATTTTTAAAACGATCCTATTTCTTCAAGGGAAAACTCAACATCTTTTAGAAAATTTACCTAGCACTATTATTTTCATCCATATATGTGCTAGGTAAATTTTCTAAAAGATGTTGAGTTTTCCCTAATTAATTTGTCACTTAAAAAATATTAGGTAGGCATGTTATATATCAATGGAAAGGTAATTTTGTCTATTTTTCAAAACTGTATATAATTTTTGAAAATTAAAAAATTCGCGGAATACTTTTTAAAAAAAAATAAAAAATGTTTTTTATTCAGTTTTTGCGAAGATACAAATTTTTCAAATTGCAATAAAAATTTTATTTATGAATATTTTTTGATGAAATTTTACAGTTAGGAAGATTTTTTTACTCAAAATCCAAAATTAAATAAAAATTTCGAATTTTCTTATTAGAAATTCCGGAATTCCCAAAAAAGTTTTAAAAAATTAAAATATCCATACCAGGGGCGGGGTTATCGAAACCCGTTACAAAATGATTAAGAACATATTGTGTCATATAAAACAGGTCACTATAATTTGATATCGACTATGCGATTTGAGAATTTTTGCTCAAAATTGAATTTTCCATAAAAAATAGGGTTTTTTTGGATGGACCCGGTCCCCTCGGTATCAAAAATTTTTAGGTTTTGTTTCATTTATCGTATTTTATGTAAAGTCAGCTTTCCAAAAAGTATAAATTCTATATACATCTTCTTAGAAACTTTTTAGATAACTTAAAAAGAAAAAGATACTTTTTTCCCAAAAAAATTACAAAAAATCGCTTTTTTTAATTTTTTAAATTAAAATGCCTATAACTTTGGACTCAGTCATGATTTTTACATCTTTCACTGCTTGATATATAAACTTGTTGTTAAGCGAATAAAAAAAAAATGGCGAAAATCGGGAATATTTGGACCCGCTATTATCAAAAAACTAAAGTAAGGACGGTAAAAATTTTAAAATTTTAATTTTCAAATGCGAATATCTCCTAAACTATAAGAGATAATTTACTGCTACATTTTTTATAGTGCTCGATGAGCAGATTCTATATACGAATTTTTTTTAAATCGGAACTCAAATGAAGAAATAGGATCGTTTTAAAAATTTAACATAGCCGAGGTGTCCTGATTTGAGGACCCCCCGCCGGGCCCCTGGTTGGCCTATAAGGTCCAAATTCAAAACCTAAACTCGACAACACCTCCTCTTTGTGCATACCAAATTTCATCAAAATCGGATTAACCGTTTAGAAGTTACCGAATTATTTCCCTCTTTTTTTTCCTATACCACTGTGCGGCAGCGCTCAGTTTGTTAACTTTCTGTTCCATTCACTACACCACTTCATTATTTCGTCCTACGTTAACTAATATTTTCAATATAAAAATCCTGATGTTGCTGAATAGCATAAAATATTAAACAGTTACAGTTTCTCAATGTGAACATTTATTTGATCGTGGGTTAGCAACAATTTTTTACACAAGCAGGAAAGAAAATTTCTATGTGAACATCATTAGTTGCAAGCAGTTACAAAGGTAGTTAATAGTGTAGTGGGAATGGCGTAAAACTAGCAACTTGGAGATTTTAAGTTCGAATCCTGTTCGTTTTGGACAGTTTT